CATTTTGTACCATTGCATTTTGACAGGCAGCGATCTATTAAATTTGTTCTATAATGATACACATACATTTTTAAAAGCAGTATGTCAAGTTAGTAGATATGGTGGAATCTAAACTAGTTGAACAAGAGTGCGTGACTGGTGTGTTTTAGAGTTGTGCGTCTTGAGCTCTAATGTGCGCATGAATCACGCAGAGGATCTTGTATCGGTGCTGATCTGGAGGTCAGGGTGGGGGCCTGGGATTCTGCATTTCTAATAACACTCCCAGTAAGCATATCATTGCTTCCAGTTCATGAGCCACACTTTGAGTAGCAAGAATTTTGAGAATGAGGTATTTGTGTTATTCTGGGACCTGTCAGAATTCAACAGCTCTTTGTCCTTCTTCCTCTAGCAATTCCCTGAAGTTTTCCAAACTGTTAGCCATAACTATTAGTACCTGGTTCACTGCTGCAGGATTCATTCACCTGGTAAGCATCTCCTCAGACCCTCTACTGTTGTTTCTTTAAAATATGGAGGTAAACCTTTTGAAGTCCTATCTCCATTCCTGTACCCAGTGTGAGGTTTATCTTTTCACTTCCCTTTTCTGGGTTTTCTTCACCCCCATAATATCACTCATAAAGGTGTATCTCATACATTCAAGGTGTATTTATATCCTCTCTGTCAGCTTCCCAAACCTGCTTTTAGGAAAGGATCTAATAAGCTTACCCTTCAGAGGTACAGGTAATAGGTAAAACTTATCACTGTATCTTCTGAGGGGTTCAAGCATATTGAAAAAGTATTAAGAGTCAAAAAAATGAAGTCAGAGAGAATTTCACACAATAAAAGCAGAGGAGTTATGGGTAAAGAGTTGCTGAGTCACAAAGGGGAGTTTTGGGACTTTCTTAGTTCTGAAGTCCTTCTGTATATGTAGGTACCTCCTGCCAATAGGAGAGGTTAGATCTTATCTCACATAATCAGGGACATAATAATGGATTTCAGTAATAAGAAACTCCTGGACTTACTGCTTGAGGACATTTGAGGAGCAGTCATTATAAAATGCAGAAATTGAAGTGGGATGTTAAAAACATTAAGAGACCTTGGAGAAAGGTGACCGAAGTCCTTTCATTTGAGTCCTCCCCTCAAAATTCATTAAAACAATAAGGAAAAGTAGTTTCAAAACCATCTTCAGTTCATAAAGAAACATGTCAAACACCAAATGCAAACTATGATGTGAACCTTCAAAAAATCTGAGGCTGGCCACATACCTCCTCCGCACTCAAGCATAAGAGAGATTCCACAGATAAAAGGGTCACTGTGAGTGGCAAAGGCGTATCCCTGGATCTGCAGGGATGGACCTCGGCACCTGGGCGTTCCTGGGAGAAGCAGGCGTCAGCATCCCTGTGGAGACCGATTGGCCATCACAGAGGCAGAGTACACGAACGGCTGTGGCCATGGCGACAGGACTTGTTTGCCTTCCAGTGAGTGAGGGACTCTGAGGGTGAATGTGGACTATACGTGTATTTCACTGGACTTAATTACGTTTTCATTTTTTCTTTTCTATTTTCTTATTGCTTGATAACTTTTATGGAGAGCTCACATTAAAAAATGGATTTCTGGATTCTTTGAGAAAACACAAGGTTCTAGCAGCCCACTCTCCCAAGGCCACCCCCAGCCATAGTAGAAAACTAGCTGTTCCCCTGTGAATAGCACGTGCTCCTGAGTTGCACACGATCTCTGCTAGGCTCACTTAAATCATTAAAGTCTTTCGTGTAGCTCTTCTAAGCATGTGAACATGTGCCCCGGTTGGGCCTCCAGCCACCTAGGTGAGGAGACCTCTAGCCAGGGTGCGTACAGAGAAAGGAGGAGAAGCAACCAGATGAGAAAAAAAAAAGCAGATTTTCTAGAGAGGATATTTGAAATGACAAACCACAATAAAACCTGATCATCTCAACTCACCATCTTTCCACACTCACACTGTCCTTTGGCTAAAAGCAAATACCATTCAAAGAAGAATATTGACGAAAAAGTAATCCATATGGTGCCTGTGTTTAAATTCTGCCAAAAATAGTAAGGGCATAATGGTGGAGAGCAGAGAAATATAACAACAGTTATGTGATAGTTATAAGAACAATTACAAGATGATTTGCCCAAGGGAAAGAAGGAAGAGTTAAAAAAGAAAAAAACCCTCCATATTTGAGAAAACATGCAAATAAAAAGGCTTTAAACCATTGAAAATAATAACTCAAACAGAATACATAAGGTTTTAAATAAAAGATTATTGAGGTGTAGCAGTAGTTGGAAAAGGTGCTGAAAGATATGAGAAAAAGAAGCAAAAAGCATTCTAACACTGAAAATCACAGCAAAGATAATCAAAATATAATAATGTGACAAAAACATGCTCAGAAGTATGGTAGGCAGGACCAAGGCAAAAAATACTGCCAGGAGAAAGAACAAATTCTTAAGAAACAGGAAAAATGGGTGATGTCGATTCAAGAAACTGTAAAATTATTGTTGTTCCTGAAGAAAAGGACACAATAAACAGCCCCAGCAAAGTGTTTTAAAATAAAGTCTTGAGTCTGTGGGCTAAATAGTTTGCTGTATTGCAAGAAAAATAATCCTAAATTATTTACTGCAACCATTTGGAGCAGTCACTGACCTTCAAGGATCAGGAGCGAATCCAAGTAGAACAAAGCAAAGTCTGTATGAAGGGGACAGAATGAAACGAGCCTCAGAGTTTTTGGCAACATCTATCAAATACCAGAAGTTAACAGAGCTGTGTCCGTGAAGTTTGTATGAAGAGAAGTGTAACCTGACCTGTCATTTTAAGCATGCAAGGGAAAATAGAGCCCATGTGAGCCCTTCTTAAAAATGTGTCTTAATGATAAAATCCAGCCACATAGGAGATGAATCCTGGTTAAGAATTCAAGAATGAGGAAACCCCCCTAAAAAGTGGTAGTGGTGATGACTGAATGAATTTAAAACGGAATAAAGACAAAACAAGGGAATTATAGGTATAGACTGGGACAAACATGTACAATGTAAAATAATAAGGCTAATACAAATAATGGGAGGTAAACGAAGAAGGGAGACTATCCTCATTCCCTGAAGTTGAGACATAAAGTTTAAAAACATAACATGTCAGTTCTGAAATATGTAGTTAAAAACAGATAATTCAATCTCTAAACGTTGGTCCGTAGTCCTTTATCCTAACTCGTATTTCCCATGTGGGACTGATGGGTAAGAGGAAGAGCAGAGGGGACCAGCAGACGAGCAAGAGGCTGCCAGCTCTTAGGAGGGTTTCAACCACTCAAGTAACACTCCCAGAGAGAGTGAGGCTTCTTTCAGGTGGGAATAAATTTGGTTTTAGTTTATACAACATGTTATGCAAGGGTATGATTGAATCCCTATCCTGAGATTTTAAAAGACACTGTAAAGGAAACTGTCCCAAGCAACTCTGATACACCTGAAAAAAAGAAAAAACATAAATACATATGGTTTAAATCTGTGTGATTTAAACTTGGTTTTGTTATAGTACACTGATCTCAGAAAATAGTGAAGACTCCAGAGTCCGCGGAAGCAGATTAATAGACTTTGCAACAAAGTCCACTCCCAGACATGGGAGTTGAGTGTAGACATGCAATCTCTTAATCTGGATGGGGCAGTGTAGGAATCCATCCTCTTAAGATGCTCCTCTAACTTAAGAAAGGGTCAGCCCTTGGCACATCTCTGAAAAAGTGATCGAATACCTGAGCAAACTATAGTATTTCTAAGTTCTATTCCAGTTGCTAACAACAGAACAAAAAACTTACTCTCCCCAGCCGTCCCTAGCCTTTGATCATTTTTGTGCTAAATATATAGAAATGGAAACATCTAGGAACTATGTAAGTGATTTGAAAAAAATGTCTAAAAGTGGAAAACAAAGGGAAATTTTATATATTGCATGTAATTGTTCTATATAATGACATATTTTATAAGTTTATATATACTATAAAGGACAGTGTCATTGCCTTACTCTTTATTTAATATAAAAATGGTAATCTGACAAATTTAGTTTCTGTGAAATATAAAGTCTTAGAAGGAAAATCAGATAAATATTTTTCAGGTCTTTTCTTTAAATCACTGAAAGATTTTTGTGGGGGTTGGGAGAAATAACTTGTTTGCTTTTTCTTAGACACTAGTATTCACATGCTTAAGCTCATTTTAGTGCCTGTCTCCTCAGTGATAATCATAAGCTGGTGAAAACTGACAGTGAATGAATAATAATCGCTCAATCTGGAATCATGGAATTTGGAATTCCATGGCTCCAGGATGCAATGATGTGCCCACATGGAAAGAGATACCGGGCAGCCAGTCCCCCATGGAACATTCCAGATGTGGGCTCAAGCCACATTCCCCCTCAGATTTCAGCAATAATCACAATGAAGGAAAACAAGACTTCACAATTGCTGCCCACAATTTGCAAACCCTTCGCAGCAACATAGGAATCATTTCGTATTTCATGTGGATTGAATTAAGCAAAACTTCATTAATCCAACATTTCACCTATTATCTATAAACTTTCACTTGGCTTCCATTCAGAGAGCTTTTCTAAGTCTTCTGTCTTTGGACAGGTGGAAAATTCTGGTGATCCCTGGCTCAAAGGTAGAAATTCACAGAATATAATGTATTTTGAGTCCATTTACCTGGTCATGGCAACAGTGTCAACTGTTGACTTTGGAGATGTGGTGGCCAAGACATGCCTAGGATGGACCTTCATCATTTTCTTCACCCTGGGGAGTTTGGCAAAGAATATTTTTAATATCTTTAGATACTAAACCAAAGCTATAAAAACCAAAGCACACGGTTCATGGTGAGAAATAGCAGTATAGGTTTTAAAGTGAATGTTGCACTATTCAGAGTAAGTGTCAAATGAAAATGAAGATACATTGATCCCATATTTTGCAAACTCCATCCCCTGGAGCACATGACGTAATTGCTTGATTGCCAGGGAGGAGGATGGTAGTCAAAGGAAAGCAGATCCTAAGCTGCTGTGTGTGGGGTCTCTGTCAGAGCAGCTCGGAGCCCTGCGGGGAGTGGCAGTCACAGCAGGTGTGCTCCTCCATAATAGCGGTGCCCCTGCTGGGTGGCTGTGTGCCAGCAGCGGCCTTTGCTTCTGTCCCGGGCCGCTGTGCATTTGGCTGGGATTCCGGTCAGTTGCTGGGAGCGCGCCTGCTCCTTCTGGCTCCACAGCAGGTGTGCGGGGCTCTCCTGCATGGGCCTCTACTGGGCTCCTCTGGCTCCAGTGCCGCTGGTGTGTGCGAGCCGTACCCGAGGTGTTCGGTTGCTGCCACTGTGGGCTCGCACAAGCCTGTCCTGGTCTCCTCTGGCGCCGTTGGCACACATGATTTTGCTCACGGTCCCTTCTGGCGCAGCCACCCCCAGAACACGCAAACACTCTCCCACTTCTGGGCCAGTGTGTCAGGGTCCGTGCCAGTTGGAGGAACGATAAAAGCAGGGGAGTTATGGGTAAAGAGTTGCTGAGTCGCAAAGGGGAGTTTTGGGACTTTCTTAGTTCTGAAGTCCTGTATATGTAGGTACCTCCTGCCAAGGAAAGGTTAGATCTTATCTCACATAATCAGGGACATAATAAAGGATTTCGGTAATAAGAAACTCCTGGACTTACTGCTTGAGGACATTTGAGGAGCAGTCATTATTAAATGCAGAAATTGAAATGGGATGTTTAAAACCTGAAGAGGCCTTGGAGAAAGGTGACCAAAGTCCTTTCATTTGAGTCCTCCCCTCAAAATTTATTAAAACAATAAGGAAAAGAAGTTTTAAAACCATCTTCAGTCCATAAAGAAACATGTCAAACACCAAATGCAAGCTATGATGTGAACCTTCAAAAAATCTGAGGGCGACCACATGCCTCCTCCGCAGTCAAGCAGAAGAGAGATTCCATGGATACAAGGGTCACTGTGAGTGGCAAAGGTGGATCCCTGGATCTGCAGGGATGGACCTCGGCACCTGGGCGTCCCTGGGAGAAGCAGGCGTCAGCGTCCCTGTGGAGACCGATTGGCCATCACAGAGGTAGAGGACACGAACGGCTGTGGCCATGACAACAGGACTTGTTTGCCTTCCGGTGAGTGAGGGACTCTGAGGCTGAATGTGGACTATACGTGTATTTCATTGGACTTAATTATGTTTTCCTTTTTTTCTTTTCTATTTTCTTATTGCTTGATAACTTTTTTGGAGAGCTCACATAAAAAACGAATTTCTGGATTCTTTGAGAAAACACAAGGTTCTGACAGCCCACTCTCCCAAGGCCACCCCCAGCCATAGTCGAAAACTTGCTGTTCCCCAGTGAATAGCATGCACTTCTGGGCTGCACATGATCTCCACTAGGCTCACTTGAATCGTTTAAGTCTTTTGTGTAGCTCTTCTAAGCATGTGAACATGTGCCCTGGTTGGGCCTCCAGCCACTCAGGCGAGGAGACTTCTAGCCAGGGTGCGTACAGAGAAAGGAGGAGAAGCAACCAGTTGAGCAAAAAAAAAAAAAAAAAAGAGTAGATTTTCTAGAGAGGATATTTGAAATGACAAACCATAATAAAACCTGATCGTCTCAACTCACCATCTTTCCACACTCACACTGTCCTTCGGCTAAAAGCAAATACCATTCAAAGATGAATATTGACCAAAAAGTAATCCATATGGTGCCTGTATTTAAATTCTGCCAAAAATAGTAAGGGCATAATGGTGGAGAGCAGAGAAATATAACAATAGTTATGTGATAGTTATAAGAACAATTACAAGATGATTTGCCCAAGGGAAAAAAGGAAGAGTTAAAAAAGAAAAAAACCCTCCATATTTGAGAAAACATACAAATGAAAAGGCTTTAAACCATTAAAAATAACTCAAACAGAATACATAAGGTTTTAAATAAAAGATTATAGAGGTGTAGCAGGAGTTGGAAAAGGTGCTGAAAGATATGAGAAAAAGAAGCAAAAAGCATTCTAAAGCTGAAAACCACAGCAAAGATAACCAAAATGTAATAAATGTGACAGAAACATGCTCAGAAGTATGGTAGGCAGGACCAAGGCAAAAAATACTGCCAGGAGAAAGAACAAATTCTTAAGAAACAGGAAAAATGGGTGATGTCTATTCAAGGAACCATAAAGTTAGTGTTGTTCCTGAAGAAAAGGACCCAATAAACGGCCCCAGCAAAGTGTTTTAAAATAAAGTCTTGAGTCTGTGGGCTAAATAGTTTGCTGTATTGCAGGAAAAATAATCCTAAATTATTTACTGCAACCATTTGGAGCAGTCACTGACCTTCAAGGATCAGGAGCGAATCCAAGTAGAACAAAGCAAAGTCTGTATGAAGGGGACAGAATGAAACGAGCCTCAGAGTTTTTGGCAACATCTATCAAATACCAGAAGTTGACAGAGCTGTGTCCGTGAAGTTTGTATGAAGAGAAGTGTAACCTGACCTGTCATTTTAAGCATGCAAGGGAAAATAGAGCCCATGTGAGCCCTTCTTAAAAATGTGTCTTAATGATAAAATCCAGCCACATAGGAGATGAATCCTGGTTAAGAATTCAAGAATGAGGAAATCCCCCTAAAAAGTGGTGGTGGTGATGACTGAATGAATTTAAAACAGAATAAAGACAAAATAAGGGAATTATAGGTATAGACCGGGACAAACATGTACAATGTAAAATAATAAGGCTGATACAAATAATGGGAGGTAAATGAAGAAGGGAGACTATCCTCATTCCCTGAAGTTGAGACATAAAGTTTAAAAACATAACATTTCAGTTCTGAAATACAGAGTGAAAAACAGATAATTCAGTTTCTAAACGTTGGTCCGTAGTCCTTTATCCTAACTCGTATTTCCCATGTGGGACTGATGGGTGAGAGGAAGAGCAGAGGGGACCAGCAGACGAGCAAGAGGCTGCCAGCTCTTAGGAGGGTTTCAACCACTCAAGTAACACTCCCAGAGAGAGTGAGGCTTCTTTCAGGTGGGAATAAATTTGGTTTTAGTTTATACAACATGTTATGCAAGGGTATGATTGAATCCCTATCCTGAGATTTTAAAAGACACTGTAAAGTCTTAGCTTAAAGGAAACTGTCCCAAGCAACTCTGGTACACCTGAAAAAAAGAAAAAACATAAATACATATGGTTTAAATCTGTGTGATTTAAACTTGGTTTTGTTATAGTACACTGATCTCAGAAAATAGTGAAGACTCCAGAAGTCCGCGGAAGCAGATTAATATAATAGACTTTGCAACAAAGTCCACTCCCAACCATGGGAGTTAAGTGTAGACATGCAGTCTCTTTATCTGGAGGGGGCAGTGTAGGAATCCATCCTCTTAAGATGCTCCTCTAACTTAAGAAAGGGTCAGCCCTTGGCACATCTCTGAAAAAGTGATCAAATTTACCTGAGCAAACTATAGTATTTCTAAGTTCCATTCCAGTTGCTAACAACAGAACAAAAAATTTAGTCTCCCCAGCCGTCTCTAGCCTTTGATCATTTTTGTGCTAAATATAGAAATGGAAACATCTAGGAACTATGTAAGCGATTTGAAAAAAATGTCTAAAAGTGGAAAAAACAAAGGGAAATTTTATATAATGCATTTAATTGTTCTATATGACATATTTTATAAGTTTATATATACTATAAAGTACAGTGTCATTGCCTTACTCTTTTTATTTAATATAAAAATGGTAATCTGACAAATTTAGTTTCTGTAAAATGTAAAGTCTTAGAAGGAAAATCAGAAAAATATTTTTCAGGTCTTTTCTTTAAATCACTGAAAAGATTTTTGTGGGGGTGGGGAGAAATAACTTGTTTGCTTTTTCTTAGACACTAGTATTCACAAGCTTAAGCTCATTTTAGTGCCTGTCTCCTTAGTGATAATCATAAATTGCTGAAAACTGACAATGAATGAATAATAATCGCTCAATCTGAGAGCCTTTGGAATTCCATGGCTCCAGGATGCAATGATGTGCCCACATGGAAAAAGATACCAGGCAGCCAGTCCCCCATGGAACATTCCAGATGTGGGCTCAAGCCACATTCCCCCTCAGATTTCAGCAATAATCACAATGAAGGAAAACAAGACTTAACAATCACTGCAAACCCTTTGCAGCAACATAGGAATCATTTCATATTTCATGTGGATTGAATTAAGCGAAACTTAATTAATCCAACATTTTGCCTATTATCTGTAAACTTTCACTTGGCTTCCATTCAGAGACCTTTTCTAAGTCTTCTGTCTTTGAACAGGTGGAAAATTCTGGCTCAAAGGTAGAAATTCACAGAACATAACGTATTTTGAGTCCATTTACCTGGTCATGGCAACAGCGTCAACTGTTGACTTTGGAGATGTGGTGGCCAAGACATGCCTAGGATGGACCTTCATCATTTTCTTCACCCTGGGGAGTTTGGTAAAGAATATTTTTAATATCTTTAGATACTAACCAAAGCTATAAAAACCAAAGCACACAGTTAATGGTGAGAAATAGCCATATAGGTTTGAAAGTGAATGTTGCACTATTCAGAGTAAGTGTCAAATGAAAATGAAGATACGTTGATCCCATATTTTGCAAACTCCATCCCCTGGAGGAAATTATGTAATTGCTTGATTGTCAGGGAAGAGGATGGTAGTCAAAGGAAAGCAGATTTTCCTTATTTGGCTCTACATTGACTTGAACAACCCTATCTATATTCCTTCATCTTTTGCCATCAAATTAAAATCTTTCTTCCAAAGAAGGGCATTTGAGATATGATCTGAAGAACACTGCATTCTTTCCAGCCTAGATGAGTAAGCTCTCCAAACCAGATGAGTGAGCATCTGTGCTTGATTTAGGAGTGTGTCCCAGACAGAGGAAGCCTCCTTTTCTCATAGTGACTTCAATTTCAGTTCCTTAAAAACCTTAGCAGACTTCTTGCTCCACCCTTCTGATGTTCCCCTGTCCACCTTGGAAAATTCCCCCATTTCACTCATTTTCCCTTAACCCTGCTCTGTTCCATATGCTTTACTTCCTCCAAGGCCGTGAATAGTATCAATCAGAGAATCCGAAGCACAGATAGCGACGAGGGAACAAAGCGGGCAGGGAGGTTGCCTTGCTGCTTGACTTTGCTTTCATTGTTCAGAATGCTGAAAAGCGTTTTATTGCATTTTAACAAAATTCAAAGGCTGAAGTAAGGAAGAGAAATGACCTGCCTTTTAAAACACGGTTCAAAGCCATGCACCTTCTAGAGGAGAGAAGTTTTATGTACCTTCTTTCTCCTTTGTAATCTCAGTTTTGGAGGATCCTTGGGAAGGAATAAGGCCTCAGGTTTTATTTGTTGATCATTTTAGATACTGTTTGCAAACTATGTCCTTGAAATGGTGGAACTTTTTGCCAACAAGAGAAAATACACCAGTTCCTATAAAGTGGTCAAAGGGAAGAAGTAAGTAGCTTTCAAGTCTAATTTCTATAGTTTGAGATAGACCACTAGTCTCCTATCTCTTTCTAAACACCTATTACCTGGCATCAGTGAATATACTGGCAAGGCCCTCCATTCACGAAAGAGGGTTATGCTAGAATAAATGCCCTAAGAAGATGATATGTGCTAATTGATACAAACTATAGATGAAACATAAGGGGAGTAAATGAACTAAAATGGTGGATAATGTCATTCACTGTGAAATATTGATTGTGGCAATATTTCTATATTCTTTATTGCTAGTTTTCTCTTATAGCCATTACTGGTTGTCTGGTTAATTTATGGCTAACTTTATATAATGGACCAACTTAAAGCCATGGTTTGAATATAAAATAATTACTTCAAGTCAATTGTCTCACAAAAATTCCCCTCAGTGTTCTGGGCTCATTAATGGTAGAGGTAATTCTTGAGTGAGGAGCGATTTTAGCCTCTGTAGCACTCCTACAGCTTTTTGTTCCCAGGAGGGAAATGGAGTAGGACTTGTTTGTACCTTATTTCTCTGTAGACATATGTTACATCAGTTTGCATTGTGGGTTTTCACTTATAAGAAAAAGAGAGTGGTCTTAAATTTGAAGTGTTTCTTTCTTTTTTTTCCCCCACCTAAGCTCCATCTACTGTAAAGGAAAGAGGCACAAAGGATACTCCCTTGGAGTATCCTCTTAACTGCATGAAATTAGATAAAACCAAGACTGACCTAGGAGTTTTAAGAGGAAAGTTAAACAACAATAATAACACTAATAATGATACAAATAAAAAACAATTACGGAAAACAGTGAAATAAACTAGATAAGCCAAAGTCAGACCCAATTCATCTCAGGAAATGGCTATAGGATACATGCTAGATTAGCCATTAAAGGTCTAGAAAATTCAAGTTTAACTTAGGCTAAAACTATGGTTTCAGTTTCCTCTAATAAAAAATGGAAAAATAGATTCTTTATATTAAGCCTGAGGGAACTGATGTCTGTTTTTCACTGTGAAAGTTAGAATTTTTGCATAGATTTTTGCTCTAGGTGTTTCTCCACTGGACTCACTCTTTTGTAACTACTAGGTAACTTTAGATGTGAAAGATAAACTGGAATAACCTAGAGTCCAGGGCCACCTGTGTCCTACTATTTTGACTTTGGGAAAATCAGTGAACCTTTCAGATCCTTAGTTGTTCCCCGGTGAGAAAGGACTAGATCAGCCACATAGGAATCAAGTGAAATAACACATGTGCAGGTCCAGTCTAAGTTCTTCCTAACCTGATAAATCTAGTAGTTACAACAGTTATGGATGTGTTCCTGGAAAGTTATGCATAATTTTCACATTTGGACCCATACTCTGTATGAAATTAGCTGGATTCTACTGAAATCTGATGCTTCTTTTCTGTTGTGCAGGTAGAGTCCTTAGTCTTTCTATTTTACATATCTGGGTGATGCAAACAGGACACTATTTAAACCTAAGTTTAACTTTGATTTAAAACTAAGTTCCTGGCAAGTAGTTCCTTGACAGGAAGATACTTCTGTTCCTTGGCTGATCCATGTCACCTGTACTTACCACCTAGGTTCATCATGGTGTGTGGAAACATCACTGGGGACAGTGTGACTGCCTTCCTGAGGAATTTTCTCCATCGCAAGTCAGGGGAAATCAACACTGAGATCGTTTTCCTGGGAGAGTAAGTGTATCCGTCTGGCTCTTGAGTGCTAAATTAAAACTTGAAATATGTGTGAATTGTTTTTTAATGTGAGGAAGGTNAATATATATATATTAATATTATTTTAGTGACCCCCCCTGTGGTATAGGTTATTCTATACCCTTTTTTATTTTATCTGATGATAATTTTGTACATGAGTCTGGTGTACTTAATAATTATTATTCTACTGTTAATTCTTAAAATTGGAAATGTAAAGTTCAAATAGATGCAGAAAAGGTCACTTTTGATGATATTTTTGTTCTATTAAGTTTACCTTTCTACAAGCAGAGCCCAAGTCAAATATTTTGTGAAACACTGGAAAATGGATACTTGATATAAAAAGATGTTTAAGTAGGCTAAGTGGTTGCTTACTGTTTCTACAATTTTGGTTCCTAGTGAGATTGAACAGTTTTTGTGTGCTTGGATGTTTTCCATTCCCTTCTGAAATTTGTCTTCATTTCTTTCATCCTTTTTTCTACGAGGATGGTCATCTGTTGTTTTACCGACTTTTAAGCACCCTTAATATATTTTAATACATATTTTTATATTAGCCCTATTGTGTCTTATGCTGTAAATAATTTTTTCACTCTTTGCCTTTTTTCTGTGTGTGTGTTTTTACTTTAATACAAAGGCATTTGATTTATATGTACTCCAGCCAATTAACTCTTTCATTTGGCTTCTTGCCTACCTGACAAATATCCAGAATTAAGCAAATATTTCTTTAGCATTTTTATGTTTTCATATTGAAATGTTTATAGTTAAGCTCTCTGGAACTGATTCTGTGCAATATGTACAGACTTCTTTATTATATTTATTTAATGTGTTTATATATTTAATGTGTACTAACTTCCTTAATATATATTTATTTACTATTTTTATTTAATGTATATTAAATAAATGTATATATATATATAATGAATCGTTTTACTTAATATATATTAACTAATTTGTTTATTAATGGGAACTAACTCCTTTATTTTGTCCAAATGGTTAAGCGTTATACAAGCACAACACACTAAATACGTCAGACATATTTGAAATGACATTGATCTTATACAGGATTGTATATGGGATCACCTCAACCTTCATGCATTTTACAGTTGAACGTTCTATACTTTTTACTTTATGACATGTCCAATCCACCGTAACTTTGGGCTCTCATGTATCAGATAATCAATAAGCATTTTGATGTTGATGGGCAGCTAGCAGTTCTGTTTCATTACTATGCCTGTCTTTTCAGTAATTTGTGTATTGAATCCTTACTCTAAAAAACAGTAAGAAAACCAAAGTGCTAAAACTAGTAATAAGAGATTAGTAATTACAATCCAATTACGACAGAGGAAAATATGAGATGTTACAGAAAGTGACATATTTTATCCATTGCTATATTTTCAGGGACTAATGTAGGTTATTGCATGTCCTTATCAAGATAATGAATGAAATTTTTTAAATGGTAAATGTTGCAGCATCCATGTAGAATTTTGCCAATCACGTATGTAGTCTTATGACTCCAAGTCTATATGCTTCATCAGACATTCTCTACAGCTCCACATTCACACATATAATTGCCTATTGGATATTTGTACCCTAGTGTTTCAAAGGCTCCTCAGACTCAACATTTTCAAAAGTAAATTCATGGTCTTATGGTTCCTTTCCATCTCACAAGGCAAATAAAAAATTAAAGAAAGAAAGAAAACAGCATTTCTAGCATTTTCTGTTTCAGTAAATGGGACCTCATCATCACAGCTTCTTACAGCAAAAAACCAGGCATTGCCTTTGATACCCTCCTTCTCAGGCCCTATGAATATTAGCTTCAATGTCATCATTTTTGTCTCCTAAATAAATCCTAATTCTGTTTCTGCCAATTCGTCTCCACTATCACCACCTTATTCAAGTTATTACTCTGTCTCTCCCGCATTTCTGTAAAGGCCACTTTATTGATTTGTTCTTTTTGCTCAGGAGCCCCATCCCCTAACTTTATATGACCAATTTATTCCCCTCCTTCAGCACACAGTCCTTGCCTCTCCAAGCTCTCTGAATTAGTGTCTGTCAATCCTTCTCTCTCATTACTCCATTGTGTTTCCTTTAAAGCAATTGTCACAATCTGTAATTGTGGTAGATGTTCCTGTAATAACAGCTGTTAACATTTCCTTCCCTTACAGTACATTCGTGCTGCTCCTCTCAATAAAAGATGGAATCTCTTTCTCCTTCCTCTGAATCTGGGCCAGACTGGCTTGATTTGATAAGTAGAATGTGGCAGAGGTGACGCTTTGCTAGTTGCAGGCCTCCATTTAAGAGGACAGGCAGTTTCACTGTCTTGAATCCCTAAGCCGTCATAAAAAAAGTGACACTAGCTTGCTGAGGAGAAGGCCCAGCCAGCTCCCAGCTACTCCAGTCATAAAGCTGAGATAACACTCACAGGTGGGAAGTCATCTTGGATTTTCTAGCCCCCAGTCAAGCTCCCTGATGGATGTACCCACGTGATTGACCACATTTAACACTGTAGAACAGCAGAGTGAGACCAGCCAGCCTCCAAAATCACGAGAAATAATGTATCACTGTCATAAGTCAACAGTTCCAGAATGGTTTGTTTTGTGGAGAGAGGTAACTGATATAAAGAGTGGTACTTGAGGTGGGGGGCTGTCATAGTAAAAGCCAAAATATGGCCTTTCCTTGGAACTAGTGGTAGGCAAGGACTGGAAACGTTACATGGATTCTCTTAGAAACCAGAAAACAATGAGGAAAAATTGCTGTAGGGTACTGGAGGAAGAGCAGGGTTTGGGTAACAATGCCACCAAAAATAACATGGAAGGCAGGAAATGTACGTAAGGAAATTGTCTAAGAAGATTTCCTGGAAGACTGTTGGGAGTAGTGGGGCCTAAGGATGTCTGCTGCCTCCATTACCTCCCACCCCGGTTTTGTTTTCCTCTGGAGCATCAGTTGCAGTTTTCCCATTCCTGCCTCATAATGGTTTGTTGAGTGTTGAGGAGGTGGTTCATGGGTTTTCAGATGGGAAGGTGCTGTGCCTGAGAAGCCCCATTCATGTCTAGACCTAATGTAGTTGACAAGATCCAGAACTTAGAGCTGATGCTTTAAAGACATGAGACTTGAGGGAGAAAGTGAGAGTATTTTGTACAGTGAAATATGTGAATTCTTGTGACCAGATGGCACACTGTGGTAGATTGTTTTTAAAAGATGGCTACTAGCCTTTCCTCCCAAATGTTTAAACATATTCTCCTCCTACAAAAGTCTAGCCTATTTTCCCTTGTATAGGCTGGACTTTTGACTCCTTTTAATCAATCAAATGTGCAAAAGTGACTGGGCCAGTTGTGGGCCTAGCCCGTAAGAAGCCTAGCAGGTATATGAAGTTCAGCCACTCTGGTGGAGAGGCAGTCCGTCCCGCCACCAGCTACTCCAGCTAGCCCAGTTGGACAACTCTTGCATGCTTGCTTGGATGTTCTAGCCCAGTGGCTCTTTCAGCTAAATGCAATCATATAAAGCAGACCCACACAGGATAGAAGAATCATCCAGCTGAGCCCAGTCAAACCAAAGAATATCAAGAAATAATAATTTGTTATATAAGCCACAAAGATCTTGCAAGATTTTGTGCAAAAATTTGATAGCTGATACAGAAATTGTCACTTTTCTTTCTTTGGTTATTTGTTTATTATTTTTTTAAAAATCCAAGATACTATGCTATCAAATGTCATAAAGGTAAACTTTTGATTTATACTTCTATAAGTCATATTCTTTAGTGGCATGCAACAAAAACTAACTATGGCTAAATTAAAGCAGAAAGGAATGTATAAATAGGTATTATGTAGCTCTCATAATTTCCAGAAGAGCCATGTAATCAGCCTTAGAGAATATACAACATGGAATATTGATAATATGATGCTTATTTATAAGTGTATATTTTTTTATGTTCATTTGTATTTATAGGTATTTTGATATTTTCTGATACTAGAAATACTGTCATTATGTTTTCTAGTATTTTGCTATGGTATAAAAAAACAATTGACATTTGTATATTAATCTTCTATCTAATCATATTACTAAATTCCACTAGTATTTTTAATTATTTTCTGTAGTGCTATTAGGGTTTCTATATAAGTAATAACATTATTTTAAATAAAGACTTAATTGTATTGTCATCAGAGATCATAATTTATACAACTGTTTTTTGTTGTTTTTTTGGCAGTGTGTCAAGGCTTTCTTTATTAGTCAAGTAATTTATGATTCTGATAAATATTTGTGTCCCCTTGAAAAGTATCAGTTATTCACAATTGCCCTGGTATGTAAACAACCTAAGTGTCCCTTGATGGATAAATGGATAAAGAAAGCATAGTGTATACGAATTCCCTATACAATGGAATATTATTAAGTCTTTAAAAAAGAAGGAAATCCTGTCATTTATGACAACATGGATCAACCTGTAGAGCATTGTGCTGAGTGAAATAAGCCAAAGATAAATATTGCATGGTATCACTTATAAGTAGAATCTTAAAAAAAAAACAGTCAAACTCAAAGAAACAAAGTAGTAAGGTGGTTGCCAGGGCCAGAGATTGAGGTGAAGCCCATAGGGAGAGATTGGTAAAAGGGTACATGCTTTCATTTTCAAGTTGGATAATTTCTGAGGATCTAATGTATAACATAGTAATTGATAACACTGTATCACAGAAATTGGCTAAGAGAGTAGCTCTTAAATGTTCTCAGCCCAATAAAAGAGGTACGTATGTGAAGTGATAGATGGGTTAATTAACTTAATAGGAGGAATCCGTTTACATTGTATATGTATATCAAACTATCACGTTGGAAATTTTAAATATCTCACCATTATATTTGTCAGTTATTCCTTAATCAGTTCTAAAAATATTAGAGATCCTAAATGTCTGTAGAGTTTATAAATATAAAGCTTGATGACTTTTTTCTGCTTGATCTATCAATAATTGAGAGAGATGTATTGAAATCTCTTATTACAG